TAAAATCTAAAGACCTGAGAAGTGACAGCGCAGAAATAGCACAATGCTGTCCGTGTTTCTGAATTCCCTCTGAGCTGCCATCCCATTCACAAATGAGTGCAAAACAAGCAAAGCAGCTGTTGTCAACAGGAAGAACAAAGACTTGAATGACACAGGCTCCTCCTGTGAGAAATCTGGTTAATAGCCAAATAAAAGCATGTCTCAAGGTAGCATTTGCAGCTCAGAAACATAAAGCAGTGTGCTTAGTCCTAGATATCATTTCCCACTATTTTCTTTCCGGGACAAAAGTTCTTGCTTTTTCTTGGAGTTGTAAGAGTTTAAGCTATTTATTCTCCTATTACATTCAGACTCTCGTAATGCTTGAGAAGTAAGATGAACTTTTCCCTTAGTAACTGTATTGTAATGCTGGGATAGGAAGTACATTTCAAGTTACCACTAAACTTGTGAAATTGTGCTGTTGCCAAGACCTGTTACGGCTAGCAATACATTAAAAAAAAAAAATCTGATGATCGCTAACAGATTATCTCATGCCTTGTTGTGTGCTTTCTTTCAAGTGAACTGCACACCGGAGACTAAACTTAAGCTACTTTGAAACTGGAGGCAACTAAGAATTAGGGAATAGAAGCGTAGTAATTTTCCTTCCTACCACACAAAAAACAATTCCTATTTAATCTTTGCTCTTTAAGTGCCACCAGCTGTTCACGTTGGACAGGATGTAGGAAGGGATATATGCAAGCTGAAGCCAACATGATTTGAATAGAGGGCAAATAAGGTCGCTAAAAAACAGTAGTGCAGACTGTACCATCTCAGCATGGGATCTGATCATAAATTCAAGTTAACTGAGCAAGGTTTCACTGGCACGCAGGTTTATGTTTGGATTTGTGCTCTTTGGCTTTGTTGTTAATAAAGCTTATGAGCCCAAGGAGAAAGATAGCGCCTGCTTCTGTCCTAGGGCACCCCTCAGGTAGGTAGAGTCAAGTGCCATTCACTGCAAGGGTGTCAGAATGTCACTCAACAGAGAGATGGAAACCATGTGATACTTAAATGAAAGCAGTGATCCCACTTAAACCGATGTTTGCCCTTCTGTTTGTGTTTTGAAACACATAAGGGGCTTTTTATACATGTGCTCAGATAAAGTTAGTATCTTTCAAGTTACGAGAAGCTTATACATCTTGTTGGACCAAGGAGTAAATGCTCACTTTACTTGATGAGCTAATCTTAGAGCAAACACTGTATGGATTCAAGTGCATGATGCGTGAAGGTGCAAGCTGGCCAGCAGCACCGCAGCTGCATTAAAAAATCAACTTCTGTAGTTCTCTGAGCTATTTTAAGAACAAAGATTATTCCTCAGCCATTTGGTTCATTAGGTCACTGCCTAGCCTAGACCTAACCTTTCTTTGCTTAGATGAGTATCTGCACAAGTGGAAACTGGGTATCTTCAGCAGGCACCAGTAAATCCAAAATCTTACTGTAATACTCCAGTGAGAAACTAGAGTTCAAACAAACAGAGGTAGTTAAGTAGTAGACATGTAAATAGTCACTGCAAATATTTTAGTAAAATATTTTATTGTTGTGCTAGCTGAAACTTTTATTATTGTCATCCACTCATCAAATGGAAGAGAATTCGTAAATGTTCAGGAAGTAAGAGGAATGTATATTGTTCTGATAGTCTTTCCATTGAAGGCAGACGGGATTTTACCACTGGCTTAGAGGAACAGAAGCTATCTGTTTGTGAAGTCAAGCCTACAGATGTATTTTCTGAATGTGTACTCAAAGAACTTAGAGCAAAATGAACAGAACAAAAGCGGAGGTAGCGCAAGAACGTAGACTTAAAAACTTATAGCAGTTTCTGCTGTACTGCTCTTCCAAAGAGACAAGGGCTCTGTTTTCCCTCCAAAGTACAGTGACTACAGAAACATCTAAAGTAGCAGAGAGATCAAGGAAATGTCCGGTTCAGTTTGATTCCCTTGAGCTGTGGCAGTTCAGCAAATTCAAGCCTGACCTAGTAAGAGGAACTAATTTTCTCAAATATTCTGCAAGACCCTAAAAATAGACGGCTTTTAAATGGTCAATGCAGTAGAATCTGAGTCCTTTTTAGTAAACCAGCTTAATTGTAACGTTACACTCGCCCCCGCAGTACATAAGTGATCTCTCAAAGTACATGAAGCAAAGCAATTGAATTTGGGTTTGTCTCCTCATCTTCTTCCTGCAGAGTGTCCATGGTACTCTTCCTTTCTGGATTATTTCAATACTAACTAACACTTTCTATAACGCATAGGTTGCTCATGTAGAAATTACAAGTAATTCTCATCTGTGAGCTAGTCAGGGGTCTTTTAAAATGAGCTGGGTTTGTATGCAGACTCTGTAATTTGGCACTGCAGAAGTGGCACAACAAAAAGGTATTTTAAATGGCACAAGCAGCACAGTCATGTTGTCACATAACCTAAGGATACCACATCCGTCTGCTACATGATACTGCAGAAAAATAGGCTTTGAAAAGAATGCTTGGTTAAATCTACAGCTGGCATTTTGGAGGCTCCGAACTAAATGCAGCCAGCAGCTGGGAAGGAAATAGAAAAACACAATGGCATAAGTCCAGGAGGCCAGGAGTTTACCAACCCAACATCTTGAGTACTGTGGCATTTTTAACTGTTCCGCATGGGTTTCTATTGTTCTGCATGTGAAAACTGCAAATTCATCAGTCAACAAGAAGTGTCTCAAATAAGGAAAATATAATGAGACCTGTTAAGTAAGCCTTTACCATTTACCCAGAAACAAAGCTGCAGGTTTAAAAGTCACAAAGCTAACATTGTCTGCTTGTGTTGCTCTTAATTCCACTAAAAAGAGCACTAGGAAAAGAGCAGACTGGTTATTGCTACATTAGCAACTAATATTAGCTCTACTACATGAGGAATTACTGGGAGTTATCCAGCAATAGTCTGAGTTGTGCCAAGGGAAAGTCAAGAGTTCAAGTACGTACATATCTTTCATAGCTGTCAGTCTTTTGCATTGCAAACTGTTTATCTCTGGGCCAAAGCTGTAACTACTTCAATATCAGGTTATGGAAGTATATTTCACATAGTAACTTTCGAAAAAAAAAAATTCTTCTCTGAACCTGTACAACTTCATGTGTATTGTTCATGAATTCTTTCTTACAAACGCTGCGCAGAAGGAAGGTGCTGTAATAAGGTGCTTGTTCTACGTTGCAATTACAATATGGTGAGTTGTCTATTTCAATAATGCTTCGCAGGCCAAACAAGCTCTTCACGGAAAAAGAGTAAATGCAGCGTGTTCAAATAACTTCCACTGTGCTTTAATCTATATAAATATTCCATGCATTTCACATGCATTTGGCAGGATAGGCTATTTACATATTCTCAGACTAACAGTGTGGGGAAAAGCATTTACAGCTTCAGGCCTTGGGGTGCTTAATACCGGGGGCCTAATTTGCTGCTGTTCGTCTGTTGTAAGATAACTTAACTGAAATACTTGGCATGGAGAGGAGGTGTTTCTTAACCTGGCTAATTTACATGGTTCTGATGACAAAATTAGATCTCTTAGAGCTGCACATGGTGCTGATTTGTTTTAGCTAAGACAGCAGTTTGTTACAGCTGTTTTGTTGCACAGTTGGCACACAACTACACGCAGCCTAGCTCAACAAAAAACAGTGCAACCGCACTGTTTGATATAAAGGCACATAGGTTTAACAAACTCCTGCTGCACGTGGGTCAAGATCAACTTTTCGCATCGGTAAGTAAAAGGCAACTTGAGTATCAGGAAAACATAACAGCCTTAACTCATCCCCTTCCTCTGCTCTCCATGTAACTCCTCCACGCTTGTTTTCCCCGCGTTGACATCAACCAGCAGTCGCTCCCCAGAGGGGAGCTTTGGCTGCTGCACAGAGGCTACGATGCAGCTCCTCTGCAGTGGTTCACCCCACTCTTTTCCACTGGGGTTAATCACTGAAGTTTTTTTCTTCTACCACTTGCCAACCTTTCGCTTCCCGGTTGCCATTTAATGCACAAAACAGATGTGTATTTGGGGTTTTGCTATCGGTCTTGAAGCACAACGGTAGTGGTTGATTGTTGCTTAACTCAGAAAAGTAACCACTGAAAATCATCTATGCGACATGCTTAGTTCTTAAACGGCTAAGAATTGCCACAGAAAAATGACACTGCAGGGCTGTAACGAACTGCTATGCTTCCTACCGGATTAATGTTAACCTCATCCCAAAAATCTCTGAGGAAAAACTACTTGCAAAACAGGGAGCAAGTCAACAGCCGGAAAGCCTTCGCCCTGCTGGAGGGCCAAGATCTGACATGCGGTTTTCTGACTTTTGATTAGCTTAGAATTTGACACATCTGAACAATGAAGCTGAAGTGATCTTAAAAGCCCAGGGCATGTCTGAATTTGAGAGTAGGAGGGAAGGATTAGTTCTCAAAGGGTCAGAAGTAATGTGCAGCCATGGCCAGTGACACTGAGAATAAGGCTAGAACTGCAGTTTAGCCCAAGTGCTGTTATGAGATTGATGCCGTTGTTAAATTAGCGCCTCGTTTTATCATTACATGTTGAGCAGTGGTACGCATCTTGACACATAATTTTAATAGTAGCTTGTAAGTGTCAGTGATAATGTAATCTATTTAACAATGAGCCTAAAGATTATCCAGAAGAGAGCATATTATGCCCTGTTAAAACAGCTAATCTGCATAAAACTTACGACAAGCCAGACCTTTTCAGTGTTTAATAAACTGGCTGAATATTCATTTTTCAGGCACTGTCCAAATTGGTTTGGTCACAGATGAGTATTTAAAGCCCATTCCAAAGCTGGCAAATACACCAGGGAAATAAGACAAGAATGGGGGAAAAAAAATGCAACAACAAACCACTCCCCATAAAAACAACAAAAGACTGCCTCTAGCCAAAACCCCTCATGATTAACATCAGCAATAATGGGTCCAATTCTAGCAAAACATAGGATGACATTTGTTTCAAGTACTTACTGGCCACTTTTGTATAGGATCGGTGCAGGGCAGAGCAAAAAATCAGATTCCACTGTTTTTGGTTTTTCATCTGAAAAAACAAATTACATGAGCTTAATATACCGTGCTGCTTAAACCAGAAGCTGATGTGCGAACATGCTGTGAAGTCCCTTCCCTTCTCACAGCATGCTCGTTACTGGTTTGGTATTGTCTGGAACTTGCAAGCAAGGCAGGCCCAAGTTAGGGAATAAAGCTGTTGCTTTTTTAAAGATGCACCCTGAACATACAAACCCAGAGCTGGCTTTAAATGCGACTGTGAGCCCACACTACGTTGCTTAGTTAATTTTACTCAAGTCAGCTCATGCTCTTGCAGAGACAAAATTTCCTAGAATCCAAACCATTTTTGCAAAGAGTGAGAACATTATGAGGGGTTTCCTAATATTTGGAAGGATGAAGGTTTGTTTCTAATTAGCTCCAACCCTGTGCATTGCATTCAAGGACTACTTTATTAGTTGTGATTGGAGTGTCTATTTCTCCAGTGTTTCTCATGCTTTTGAGTCTCTAGCTGTTCGCAAATCTCTTAGACTTCTAAAGCATCTATTTGTAGGGCACAGTGTCCAGCAAAGCACTCCTTTCCTGCAGTTGGGAAAAGGAGAGGAGGGAGCTCTTTAACATCATGAGTTTGGAAAGCTGGGAAAAATTCTGCTCCTGTGTGCAGGACTATCCTTCCAAACTTCCCCACGGTAGGACTGTTAATTTCTGTACTGGAGCTGCTCCTACAAGCATGGACTACTTCCTGGTTTAGGGGTGAGAGCAGATAAATGATCTGCCAGATAAACTTGGAGATGACTCTGTCCTGCATTTAGGGAACAGGTAGACATACCAATAGTTCAGGGGCAGCTGAAGGAGGAGCTGTTAGCATAAATGAGCTTTTCTTACGAGCTATAATCTGCACTGACTGCTTGGCCTAGATTTGGGGCTAGTTGTGAGGTGGGGAAGAGGGATTAGCACATTGCCATATGTTTTTGTCTTAATGGTATGTTTCATAGATTATTTTTCTATCCCACAGCTACATTTGGCAGGTTTCCTTTCTAGCATTTGGTAATGGTTCTTTATAAATGCAAGAAGAGAAAACATGCCAAATGCATCTTTTAAAACCAGAAGAACTGACAAAATAACGGCTTGCTCTGAGGCTGGTCCCCAGGCAGAGCCCAGGCTATCAGTAAGGGCAACTCTAACATGGAAGTACATCGTCATGTAAGTACCCTCCGTTATGCCTTCAAATGGTGAGGGTTCCGCTGAGAGAATGCCAGTTTTTGATAGCAAAGTCAATGACACAGGAATAATTTTCCTCCACTTGGGACCACTTCCTTCCTCCTGCTACTGCTCTAAGAGCCCTTACTACCTTTTTGTTTATCCTAGCTCCACGGATCTCCTTTAGGTTTTCCCCGAGACAAACGCACTTGCAGCCCAGCACAGAGCTTGTAGCAAATGAGCTTGCATATCAGGGGAAGGATCACATTGAATTTTCCTACTTCATTCCTACACTACAGCCTAAATGTTTGCTGTCGTCCATTGCTGAAGACGAGAAGCTGGGTGGGTTGTAGCAGGCCTCCGGCAAGACCTCATACAACAGGCTGTGTTTTTACGCTGCAATGTATAATAAATACATCACTAAGCCATTCCCCTCCCTTCGAGTGTTTTAGCGCACCCTTTCCTGAAGCCAAGGGAAAAAAAAAAAGGTAGCCCAGACGTCTAGCTGGGAATTCTCACATCAGATGCTAGCAGGTATTTGGGGGCTTCATCCTGTCCAAGTATAGTTATTTCTACCGTGGAAAAGCAGGCGTATGCATGCCATACAGCTATAAAAGACTGAATCATCGGAGACTCGGAGAAACCAGGGTCAGAAAATATTTCAAAAGGTTATTCAAAGAAGGCAACATGCTTCAGACATTCTTCAGTGACACTCATGTAAGCTGTTAAAAGGCTTTCTAGGTAACCTATTCTAGGCCTGAGAAATGTTTACAGTGAGAACCATTGCCCTAATACCTCACGTCGACCTGCTGCAGAATTTGAAGCCTGTTGCCTCTTCTTCTTGTCAGTGGCTTGGCAGAGCCCAGCTTATTTTTTTCAGCCCTGCAGCAGCCCAAATTTAACCATTACTTTGGCGATCCTTCTTCTCCTGTAGATGTAACAAACTGAACTCTTCTGTCCTTCCTTACAGCTTGTGTTCTGGACTTCTGCCCATCCTTGCCAGCTTCCTCTGGACACTCTCCACAGTGGATTCATCCCCCACTTGTAGCGTGGAGCACATGAAAATCCAAGTTCCTAGGGGTTACTGTTGGCAGCACAACACAGCCCTGAATTGGTAAACACCGCAACCTACCGATCACCAAGTACCACAAGCCTATTGGGTGCGTGCTGCTAGCTTTGCTACTAAATCACGCCAGAACTTTTAGTACGGTAGTAGCACCTGCCAGCAGGACAGAAGAGGTTAACATTTGTGATGCTCACGGAAAATGGCTAAATCCCTGCATAAGTCTTTATCTCCACCCGTACCTTAATGTACTCCATCAGAACATCTCGAATGGTGTGAATGCCACTACGAATACAACCATATAGATGCTAGCCTCAAAACACTCATGTGAAGAAGGTACATGCTATTGTTTTAATTTCCCAAATGGACAGGCTGGGGTGTAGAGAAGTGACTGCTCATGATAAACAAGAAGTCGGGAGAAAAGCAGGAGTAGAACTGAGGAGTCCCGATGAGTTGCAAACTAGCCACTTAAATTGAAATTCAAGTTCTAATTATCTTCATGTCATGTAACTGTTGTCTCAACTATTTACCCTAGGTAGTGTGAAATTAATTTTATTCACCTGAAACTGAGCTAGTCTGTTTCCCCACTTCTCCAAGTAAGAAAGGTACACCATGATAATAAATACACAACTGCAGCAGTAATTTCGCCACACTCCAAACTCTAGCTCTATGAAGCTAATTTATGCAACAAATTGAAATAAGCAAGCTATAGTTTAACATGGGAAATAAAGGTGACAATTTTAACTGAAACTGAAGGGAAACTTATACAGGCAGAAATAATTTACACAGGTTGCTTTTACCCAGAACTACTGTGCTATTCTGTTATTCTTCCAAATTATTTTAGGTATTTAACAGGCAGGAGAGATTGGCAGCCCATTCAAGTATATATGATATCCAGAGTAAGGAAGAAAATGTACTGGAAACACATGTTCAATTGGGTAGGAATTTAAGACAGGCTAATATAGAAATCAGACAGTAGGTACGGAAAAAATGAGTTGGGTTTTTTTCTACAGGTCCATTTTTGGTCACTTTCCAGTCTGGCTTGCTTCTAAGGGATACTGCTTAGAGGAAGAAGTTGGATGTACTTATCCTAGCTGTCCACTTCGGTTTCCGGATATAAGAAATGGTGGAGGCTTCCATTAATGGCTTTTTTCCCACCATCATCTACCTCGTGCCAGTTCAGGGAACAAGGCAGCACAAGGAGACTAATCCAAATCCCGGCATGACTTCTCATCTGCCCTGCTGCTAGTTAATGCACTGACCGAGAGAAGACCAAGTCCTGAACATTTTGCTGAAAATTCTCAAGTATACTCAAGGACAAAATAGAACCAACTGTTCTGACTCGGCCTTACTCTATGCTGTTGCAGGAGCTCCAGCAGGAGGACTGACTCCATGTCACGGAGAGGCACCCACGCCCTGCCAAGCCGCTAAACAAACAGCACAATGGCTATAGATCTGGTACACCAGACAGAACGGGCAGAGACGCTCCAAGGTAACAAGGTGAGTGCACCTTGGAAAATAGTGCCTTTTGCAATCATGATGAGAGTTTATGTCTTGGCCTGGGTCTTCTTGCAAGAAGATGCACTTGGTCGGTACACTCTGTGGTCGTGTTTTCACCAGCAAACATCTGCTTACTTGAACATCAGGAGCCAGACAGTTATCACCATCTTAATTCACATAGCCAGCTGGGCTGCCAAACACCAGTCACAGTTTACAGCTAATGGCAACTGGTAGGAAAATCAAACCACTGAGCAAGATGTGAAATAACTTGCATCCTCTTACTAATTCTCAGAGCTTTCCTGTTTTCCTCCTCTTTGATATTTTTCTCTTTCAATTTCTATTAAATGAGGTAACAAGAAAATAAATAAATCACTTAATAGGAAATACAAAGGCAGATCACCTCAAACTTCAATACTTACAAATTGTAGTTCCGTTCACTTGATAGGTACAAGTAACACCATCGGTTTTCCCACCGAGGGTTAAGCCGCTTCCTCTAAGAACAACCTGAAACTCCTCTGGAGAGAAAAGCAAAAAGCCAAAATCAACAATCTTTAGTGCACTGAAGTAAGTTAGACATGGAGAATTTCAATATAGCCTGCAATAAATGAAGCACAAAATTGTAATGCTTCAAATTTACCCAGGTCTCCTTTTTAATTGATCCCTGGTACTGCGTTCTTCAGTTAGGTCACTATAGAAAAAATAAAGATTTGTTCCCAAATCTTTATCACTGAGGGAGCCCTGCCCTGTTAAAATTGATTGTTGATTGGAAGTTGATTATGACTGTCAACAGGATCTGGGGCTCAGGCGCACAGTAAGCAACAGCTTCTCGGTGAATACTCTGATAAATGACAAATCTGGGTCTCATTACAAGAAGACTCCCCAAACCTGGATCAGGCCCACTTAAAGCGCCAGATGAAGAAAACATTTCTTCTTAGTACTATTTCTCTAGAAGTTGCGTAAGGACCATGCTATTTGCGAATTGTGCATACCAGGAGAGAAAATGGTTTGTTCACCCATGCCACTGATGTCATTGAGACAATCCATGTTTTTACAAAAACATCAAAATAAGATTTTGCAATTACCTTATTTTGATTGGTCTCCAACTATGTGTGGATTGTGAAACCCAGAAAGAAGACAAGCCCTTAAAATTTTGAGCAACTCTTCTACTTCATAAATGTACTACCACTTGCTACACAGAAATGCAGTCAAATGCTTTACTGCTTAAACTCCACAGATTTGGGGCAGGGCACTAGAAATATTGTCATGAATTTATATCAACATATGTTAGCAGGATTCCCCGAAATTAACTGTGATAAAACAGTATGCGAGTGTCACAGAATATGTATCATTGCTTTGAACACGAGGGCAAGTGCAGAGCATGACTAATGGGAGAGGGGCAGACAAATGCATCTCAAACATTTACAGGCATTACCTAAATTATGAAAGTAGGCCCTGGAGGACAGCTCCTCTGAGGAGAAAAATAGTCAACAGAGAAGGATCTAATCTTTCTTAAACTCCTTGATGATTTTTTTAGAGATGTTTTATTCTAGAGACCTGTGGGGTTTTCCTTTGGGTAAAACAGGGAGATCGCAGTTCTATAATAATTGAATATTATTTTAAAATTATAAAAACTTACCTCCCACACAGACACTGGATGGCTCCAAATATAAAATCTCAGTGCATGATTGCTTCAAAACCTATTGCAAAGGAGGAAACTAGTCATAAATAGGTCTCAGGGTACTATTTCAATGAGAAATAGTATTTTAAAACAAACGCTTGTCCCTAGAAAATGAACATGCACAGCTACAGGTTTGATTTGCCTAAGTCTGACTCATATGACACAGCCTTGACTGTGTCTAACTTCCGCACGCCTGCACACCCAAGTCTCCTAAGAGTTCATAAGACTTCGATTAGCGTGTTAAATCCGAAACAGTCTTCAAAACATAATGGTATCTGATTTTGGTCTTTAAATTTCTGTCCAGATCCCTAACCTCATTTTCCATGAACCCCAATCCTAACATTTAAGCCAAATATTAGTCACAAGGAGGTTGATCCAAAACCTAATCCAGTCAGAAGCAGCCTTCCAACAATCTGCGGGTCAAGCCAAGTGCACGTTATTCCAAGTGCTGGCACCCTGCCCCATGTAAAGCAGAGCAAGAACGCGCTGTGTTCTTGACCGCGCTGCCTTCTGTCAGACGGGGTTTCTTTACTGCTGTACCAGTCAGCATGCTTTGATTCTCCAACCAGTCAGGGAATATTCTTTCAAAAGCCTGGGGCAAATCAATATTCCTACAGGTGACTTAGAAATACAAGGGATGGAACGTAAGAGAAAGGAGGAAATAGGTACCTTGGACCAGTTTGTACGTACAAAGGTTTCGGACACTACCCTTAGTTTCAGCCAAGTCACATTTTACCATTTACATCAAGTGATCAAGTTACCCATGGTTACTTAAGCAGAGGCGTAAATAGCACCCAGGTGTTGATTACCGCACACAACTTCATTTTCCGTTTGAAAACGGTGCATCTCAAAAGGAATGGGTCAAGCTTGTCTGGCTAGAACTGTTGCTGGAATCTAACGGTGAGACCATACTCTGCTCCCACTGCTAGGATCTCGGTCCCACAGCAGGGCCCCATCTCTTATTTGTTATTGTTGTCCAGGAAGGAGATGCGATACCTATTACCGAAATGATATTCCCCCTCTCTAAGCAGGTGAGGGGATCTCTGCTAACTTAGGGGAAGTGAGTCTCTTGAAGCTTGTATGGTTCAACACACACAAACAATCCACAATTAAACTGCCTTCTACCTTCACATGACAATGTGTGATTTTTTTTTTTTTTTCCCCCAATGGTTTTTGATTTTCCTCTCAGAAAACTTTCACGATGTATTTATATAGCTTTCCCTATAATAAGTGGTAGATTTTTTACAGGCATTCATATGTAATACTACATGGAATCAATTCAGGTCCTTGTAATCATGTGCATAGTAGAAAGTCCCGTTACTGTCCCCTCTCTACCTCCATTAGCCAAAACTCTGCCTGCTCCTGAGCTGGCCTAACTGTCAGTAAATGGAAGTCTGTCTTACTCCTAACTCCTTTTTTCTCCTTTGCATATGTCTTTTTTTTTTTTTTTTCCTCTGTCTAATCTATTTGCTAGTGATTTCTGTTGCTACGTATCCAGGCCCTGTAGAAACAATAACATATTATCGTTGTTACGACAAAAAGCATGCCAAGCTCCAAGAAGAAGAATAGCCTCCCTCATTTAACACTTTCCGTACCACCCATCTCTCCACAAACTGTTCTGCACAAATTATCTTTTTAGTGCTTCAAAAGCCATTTATTAACATCAATTAGTACTTTAAAAAATAGAGACCTTGCAGGCACATTTGGAAACATTTGGATGAGACACACCAATAGAGATCTTTGGAAAGAATGTAGCTTTAAGTTCAGTACAAGTCGACCAGTTTATATTAGCAGAGGCTCTCATCTCACTTCCAAAAAAGGACTTAGCTTTTTGATTACTATTTCAGTGTAGAGAGAGGAAGTGTTACACAGTTTATTTTAGGGGAGAGAGTATTTTGTGCAAAATAAAATACAGAAAGAATTAAGCATTTTAATTTCTTACTGTAAAAACATGTTCTGTTTTTTTTTTCTCTGAAGAGACCGAGTCAGATTAATAGTCCAATTTAAGTTAATGAGACTATAGAGTTGCTTTAATATGAAGTACAGATCTAGCAGTTGGCAGTATCAAAGCCCACTGAACTCATAATTTTTTTTTCTTTTTTTTTTTTAGAGCAGCACTATATAGACAGGGAGAAACTTTCCAACTTCTATCCCATTCCCATTTGCCCACTGTCTGACGAAGCAGCGCCTCATTATGAACTGAGGGGATGGGGAGAGGGGAAGACAATGATGGACGTAATCTTTTTTCTTGCAAAGTACTATTTCTCTAATTGCAGTGTATCTGATAGTGATTTTTCTAACGCTGCATTTCCAAATGCGTTCTAAAACAGGAAAAGACCCTCTTTGGACATGCTGAACTCCCTTTGGATTTAAGAATAAACTGGGGGGGGTTTCAAATCCCATTAACTCTACCAAGCACAATCAGTTTGAATGATTTGGCTCACAAGGATATGGTAACTAGCATTTAGCGATCACAATGGAAAATCTGAAAATATTTTCAAAGACGGCAATCACCGCTTGTTCTTTCACGTGAGGGAGAGGAGAACATATTTTGGCATCTTAAAAGGATGTATAGAAACTTGTGGTCTTTCTTTACTCTTTTCTTCCTCTGGCTCACACTCTTTTCTATCTGTTTTAATCTTTTCTTCTCACACTTTCCATGCAAGCTGTTCATTCCAAGCTAGCACAGTGCACTCCAACAAAAAGCTCATCTCTCTTCTTTAGGAGGAGTGATGTGAAGGCGTCTTACCCATTTTGCCCTGTGATCCATGTTCATTATTTAATATGCCTTCCTATCTCTAGATCAGGGCTGTTCCTGTTGCAACAATAGCTGATGAGAGACTTTCCGAGGTGCATGTCAATTGTAAAAGTTCCCTTTTTGAAGATGTTAGTGCTTTATCAGACAGTTGAAAGGAGTAAGCGCTGGGCTCATGTGTAGTGGCTGGGAGCTCTCATGCACAGATGAAATCTAGTATCCTTAAATCTAGTATCCTTGCCACTTCTTCTGCAGCACAAGAGGAGGGATCTGACCCGTCCCAGCAGTAACAGCTTTTAATGGAGTCGTCTCTGTTGTGTGTTATCGAAGCACATTTAACAATGGCAACATACAAACCGAAGCATACGTATCATTTCACTTCCCGTGTCCCACCCCCAACATTTAAAACTAACTTTAAACTATCTTGCTGTGGAAACCTGGGCTGCAAAGTCAGCAAGATCGAAATGAACTCTATAAAAATCTACGCTATGGTCCCCCTTTCCCGGTTCAGGATAATAAAAGAGAATGATCTGGCAGTGCAAATGGATTATTTAGAAATCTACTGCCCACAAGAAAAGTTGAAATAATCACTATATAAGGCCATCCTTCGACAGGATAGTGAAGCACACTAGTGACATCAAATAAATTCAAATAAAACTTTAAATTGCCTTAGTTTAACAGCATGCAGGGAGAAATTCAGAGAGCTGATGTCATCCATTTCATTTTCAGAGCTCCGCACCAAATATAGGGCTCCCTGGCTCGCAAAGGCTTTCCTTCTAGTCACCTCCCTGAACGCTAGCTATCCCGGAAAGAGACGTTTCCCACAAACCAAAGTGCTAAACAGAGTTGAAACCTGTCAGCGTGTGTCCTGTCATCTTAGAGCTTCAGGAATGGAGATCTGTGGAGGAACTATGGAGTGGTTCCTCCAAGTCGCAGACAGAACTGTGCTATGTGGAACTGGTTACAGCTGGAAACACACGGGGGCTAATCGAAGTGGAGAGGGTCAGACCAAAATCACAGCTGTGAGCTTGCTATTTTAACACTCGTTAGGAACCGCGTGGTGCTGCTGGAAGAAGAGAAGGCAGTAGAGTTCTGCTCTTCAAGGCAGTAGGTCTCTTGTACTTAAAGAAATAAGACATGAAAATCAGGCCCCAAACATCCGCTTGTTCAACAACAAACAACAAAAAAACGGACTGCTGAGGAAACCCTATTTTGTAGCTCCTCCGTACACAGGATTTGTTACATCGCTGCCATATTGCAGCAGCAGCAGCTGAGCATCTAAGATTAAAAAAATACTGTTATGCCGTTTTTTTACGAAGAGTTATTACAACAGCTACCTCAGTAACAAGCGGCATGGGCGCAGCTTATGCTCAGCACTGAAAACACCACCCGGCACAGCTTCTGAGGGCTGGCTGAAGGCAGAGGAGCCTCCGCGGCTTTTAGTGAAATCGCATCGTATGGCTATTAATTGAACGGATACTGTACAGATTCCATAGCATTTCTCAGTAATGCAAGTCAATCATTTCAGAATACTTCCGAAAGCAGAAGTTATCAGAATAAAAGCATCCGAGATATCCCATGGGCCCTCAAAAGCAGATTTACCCTTGATGTAAACTTACTGACATAGGCTGGGATCCTGGCTTACAGTGAAAGATGTCCCTTGCTAGATCAAGGCTTTGATGCCCCATACAGAAAATTAGATTCAGCTTCCTTCCGCGTAGAATCTGGCATGCACGCAGCTCTCGGAGGCTCTGTCCCTTAGAGGAGTCTCTCTGTACTCAACTCTTCCCGTCACATGCTTTCTATCACCTCGCTAACAGCAGCGAAGCATGCCGCAATCAGAACTGGAACTGTTTAGCTCCTGAACCAGCTAATTGGTGTTCAAATTTTCTCTTTAAGTCCTACATTGCCCAATTGTTACCTCTCTCCATCTTTCAAGCTATTTCAGAGGCTTACAAGCTACAGACGGTTTTGTGTTCAATGGAAGATTAATCTTCCTCAGGCACAAACAAGTATGCATGTAAATTTTTCTTAAAACAGCTGTAGAAATTCCATCCACTTTATCAACTTTTCAGTTTGGGACCTCTTTTCACCTAGCGAATTTTCTTTCTGAACAACCTGATTGTTAATCAGTACTTAAAATCCATGTCAATCCTTATCAGTGGCATGGATTTCTACGCACTTCCCACTAGAAGGTTCCCGAAGGCTTGCATAAGCTTCACAGCCCACTTCCTAAATGAGTGGTTTAGCATTTTTGTCATTAA